AAGAGATTGCTGCCTATGTTTTCTTCTAGGAGTTTTATGGTTTTATGTTTCCAATTTAGGTCTTTAATTATTTGAGTTTATTTTTGTGGCTAGTGTAAGAAAGTGGTCCAGTTTCATTATTTTGCATGTAGCTGTCCAGTTTTCCTAACACCAGTTATTGAAGAGACTGTGTTCCCCAATGTATATTCTTATGTCCTTTGTTGTAATTTACCATATAGGTATGGATTTATTTCTGGGTTCTCTATTCTGTTCCAATTACCTGTGTGTCTATTTTTCTGCCACTACTATATTGTTCTAATTACTATAGCTTTATGTTTTGGAATCTGGAATTGTGATACCTCCAGGTTTGTACTTCTTCCTCAAGACTCTATTGGCAATATTTGGGGTCTTTTGTGGTTCCATATCAATTTTAGTATTATTCTAGTTATATGATAAATGCTACTAGTATTTTTATAGGGATTGCATTGAATCTATAGATTGCCTTGGATAGTAAACACATTTTACAATATTAATTCTTCCTATCCATGAGCATGGGATGTGTTCCACTTATGTATTTCATCTTCACTTTCTTTCATCAATATTTTATAGTTTTCAAAGTACAGGTCTTTAACCTCCTTGCTTAAGTATACCGTTAGGTATTTTATTCTTTTTGGTATGATTGTAAATTAAATTTTTTAAAATTTCTCTTTATGATACTTTGTTATTAGTGTGTAGAAACACAACAGATTTATGTATATTAATTTTGTGTCCTGCAAATACACTGAATTCATTTATTCTCATAGCTTTATGGTGGAAGCTTTAGGCATTTCTATGTGTAGTGCATGTCTTCTGCAAATAGTACCGCTTTGACTTCTTCCCTACCAATTAGGATGCCTGCTTTCTTTCTTTCTTTTTCTTTTTCTTTCTTTTCCTTCCTTCCTTCCTTCCTTCCTTCCTTCCTTCCTTCCTTCCTTCCTTCCTTCCTTCCCTTTCCCTTTCCCTTTCCCTTTCCCTTTCCCTTTCCTTTCCTCTCCTCTTTGTTCTTTCTTTTTTCTCCTTCTCCTTGTCTGATTGCTGTGGACTTCTAGGACTGCACAGAATAAAAGTGGCAAAAGTGGACATCCTTAGAAAAAGCTGTCAGTTTTTCACCATTGAGTATGGTATTATCTGTGAGTTTGTCATATGTGGCCTTTATTATGTTGAGGCAGTTTCTTTAAACCTACCTTGTGAATTTTTATCATGAACAGATGATGGATTTTGTCAAATGCTTTTTTCTGCATCTATTGAGATGATCATATGATTTATATTCTTTATTTTGTTAGTGTGGTATATCTCATTGCTTTGTGAATATTGAACTATCCTTGCATCCCCAGAATAAATCCCATTTGATTCTGCTCAGTGATTGTAAATATGATGTTGCATGTAGTTTGCTAATATGTTTTTGAGGATCTACATCTAGGTTGATCTGGGATATTTGGCATGTAGTTCTCTTTCTTGTAGTCTTTGTCTGGTTTTGGCATCAGGGTAATGCCAGTCTCACAGAATGTTCTTAAACACTTTTGCTCCTCTTCTGTTTGGAACAGGGAAGACAATAAGTATTAATACTTCTTTAAATGTTTGGTAGAATTCATCTGTGAATCCATCTGGTCCTGCACTTTTGTTGGGAGTTTTTTGATATACAATTCAATTTCAACACTAAATTGGTCATTCCAGATTTTCTATTTCTTCTTAATTTAGTTTCAGAAGATTGTATGTTTCTATGATTTTATGTATTTCTTCTATGTTATCTAATTTTTTGGCATGTAATATTTGTAGTAGTCTCATAATCTTTTGTATTTCTGTGTTGTCAGTTCTTTCCCCTCTTGAATTTCTAATTTGATTTATTTTGGTACTCTCGTTTTCTTGATAAGTCTGTCCAAACGTTTACCAATTTTGTGTATCTTTTCAAAGAACCAGCTCTTGTTTTCATTAATCTTTACCATATTTTAGTCTTTATTTGATTTATTTTTGCCCTTATATTTACTATTTCCTTCCTTCTACTAATCTTGGGCTTTGTTCTATTTTTTTCACTTCTTTTAGGTGTAATGTTATTTATTTGAGATTACTTTTTTCTTGAAGTAGGTCTGTATGATTTTGGATTTGTCTGTTAGAACTGCTTTTGCTCCAACCTAAAGATTTTTGGGCCATTGTGTTTTAATTTTCATTTGTCTCCATGTATATTGTGATTACTTCTTTGATTTCTTCAGTGATTCATTGGCTTTTTAGTAACATAGCTGAATGGTATCTATCTTGGAGAATATTTCATGTGTACTTAAAAAGAATGTGTATTATGTTTTGGGGGAATGGTATATTTGTATACATCTGTTAAGTCTATATGATTAATGGGTCATTCAGAGAATGTTTCCTTATTGATTTTCTGTCTGGATGATCTATCCATTGATGTAAGTTGGGTGTTGAAATCCCATACTATAAATTTCTCCCTTTATGTCCATTACTATTTGCTTTATGTATTTAGGTGTTCAAATATTGGCTGCATAGATATTTACAACTGTTATATTCTCTCGTTCAATTGATCCTTTTATCATTATGTAAGGCCCTCTTTATCTCTTATTACAGTCTTTGTGTTAAAGTCTATTTTGTTTGAGATAAGTATTGCTACTTTTTTTTTCTTCCATTTACATGGAATACCTTTCTCCATCTTTCACTTTCAGCCTTTATGTGTCTGTCTTTTATAGGCAGCATATAGATGTTTCTTTATCCTTTCCACCTTCTTTATCATTCAGTTGGAGCATTTAGACCATTTGCATTTAAAGTAATTATCGAGAGATGTATACTAATTGTCATTTTGTTAATTGTTTTCTGATTGCTTTTTTTAGTTTGTTTTTCTTCTTCTCTTGCTCCCTCTCCTTGTGATGACTTTTTGTTGCATTTTTCTTAGCTTTCTTTCTCTTTATTTTTTGTGTCTCTACTGTAGGTTTTCGGTTTGTGGTTACCATATGGTTCACATATAACATCTAAGTACATAGCAGTATATTAACTTGAAGGTCACTTATGTTTGAACCCATCCTAAAATATATTTTTTTTACTCCCATGTTATATGTATACACTGTTACATTATATGTTATTCATCATTTTCTTATGTTTAATTTTGGCCTTTTCCACCAAAAGAAGTTCCCTTCCAAGGTTGGTTTAGTGGTAATAAAACTTTTAATTTTCATTTGTCTGTTAAACTATTTCTCTCTTTTTTAAATATGAATGATAACCTTGCTGGTTAGAGTATTCTTGGTTGTATTTTTTTTCCTTTCAGCATTTGATACCATTCCCTTCTGGCTTGTGAAGCTTCTGCTGAAAAATCGGTCGATAGCTTATGGGATTTTCCTTGTATGTAGATTTTTGATTATCTCCTGCTGTTTTTAAAATTTTATCTTTAACATTTGAAATTTTAAATATTGTGTGGTGGTATGGACCTCTTTGGGTTTATCTTATTTGGAAATCTCTGTGTTTCCTGAGATTGAGTATTTCCTTTTTTAGGTTAGGTGAGTTTTCAATTATTATTTCTTCAAATAAGTTTTCTGCCCCTTTTTTCTACTTCTGGGACCCCTATCATGTGATGTTTGTTTGCTTGATGTTGTCCAATAGATTCCTTAACCTATCCCCATTCTTTTAAATTCTATTTTCTTTTCGCTATTCAGCTTAGAGGCTTTCCATTACCATGTCTTCCAGATCACTGATCCATTCTTTGCATCCTCTAATCTACTGTTGATTATCCCTAGTGTATTTTTCATTTTAGTTATTGCATAGATAGATATTTTCTATCTCTTTATTGAGGTTCTCCATGAGATCTTACATTCTTGTCTCTAGTCTGGTGAGCATCTATATGATCATTATTTTAATCTCTTATCAGGTAGATTGGTTACTTACTTTTCATTTAGCCCTTTTTCCCAAGTGTTGTATTGTTTTTTGTTTTTTTGTTTTTGTTTTTTTTTTTTTTTCATTTGGAGCATATACCTCTGTCTCTCCACTCTGCTTCACTATCTGTATTTGTGTCTATGAATTAGAACAGTTACTTCTTGTATGGCTGTCCTCTGTGTACACTGTGTGTCTGGTCAATTTGGCTGGTATGGCTTGAAGGTCCTGAGGCTTTTCTGGTGGGATGCCTAGAGCTAGAGTGTATGTGGGCCTGGGCAGTAATGGGGCTCTCTGTGCAGAGGATATCTGGATAGTATAGCTGATATTGAAGTGGATGCAAACTGAGGTCTCTTGGGTCTCTCTTACAGTGGGTGACTTTGTGGGATCCCTGGAGCCCAAGTTCCATGTGGGCTCGTAGGGTCTGCTGAATCTCCATGTAGGGGGCATTCCAGCAGATGGAGCTGAGGTGGGACATGGGTTGGGAGATTTCTTGGGTGCTTCTGCAGGGGGTATCCTGGTAGGACAGCTAAAGCTGAAGAGGATGCAGTCCAGGTTTTCCTGGATTGCTCAGCATAGGAGGTATCCTGGTGGGGTAGATGGAACCAAGGTAGGCTCAGGTCAGGGTGTCCAGGGGAGCTCTGCACAAGGGATACCTTGACAGGATGACCAGAATCTAGGTGAAAATGGGCTGAGGTTTCTTGAGATTCTCCAAGCAGTAGATGCCCTGGCTGGGAGGCTGGAGCCATAGTGATGTGGGCCTGTAGAATTCTGGGGGTGCATTGCATCTGTGTTACCTTGACACAACAGCTGGAGCTATAATGAGCAATGACTGGGCTATCTCAGTGTGCACTGCACAGGGTCTCCCTTCATGGGATAGGTAGGGCTCCAGTGGTTAGGGGTCTGGGGCTCACTGAGGCCAGCTAGGGCAGCCTGACCCTTCTCTCCTCCACACTATTAAGGTGGAAGGGGGTCATGGCACCTTCAAGCCCCTCCAATCCAGAGAGAGAGTTCCGTAACTTCTCTACCATTTGGCAGGGTACTAGGGATAGCTCCTCTATATTCCTGTAGCTCTTTTAAACCAAAGTTTTTTTTTTCTTTTTTCTATTCCCCAGGTCAGATGAATCTGCTCATAATCCCAAAGTATTCTCCCTCCTGACTACATCAGAGGTGGGTGTTCTCTTTGTTATCATGTCTTAAGCTCTCCTGCCATTCTCTGTGTGGTCTTTTATTGTGCTGAAGCTCTTCAGGTCAACTTTCAATTCTTCTTGTGGATGAATTGCTTTATAAACAAACATAGATTTGGTGTGTCTATGGAGGACATGAGTTCAGGGTCTTTCTATGTTGCCATCTTGAACTGGAACCTTAGGTAGACTTCTAATTTGATTTCCCCAGTGAATGTCTCATAGATGGTTAATTTCATGAATGTAATGTGAATTTTTAATAGCTTTAGGAATTTTTATTATTTTTTTCTCTAAATACATAGTCCATAATTATACTACTTAATATATATATGTGTGTGTATACACACACATATATGTATGATATAGAAACAGATACAGTTATATCGAGAGAGACATATTGTCAAAAACACATTCCAATCCACATGTCTCTAAAATATTCAGAAGTTCATTTTGAAAATGTTGAGTGACTGCTGGTTAATGCAGAGCCAAGACTAGAACACTGGGTCTGGTGTTATAAATACCTTGTCTTGAAAGGAGAAAGAGCAGCCCCCTTCAAAGAATTGCTATTGATTGTGTCTTTTCTTTGAATTGCTTAGAAACTGAAGTTGCTAGCAGAGATGTTATGAAGGATTTGCTGGAATCAACTTTGGTGAGATTTTCTTGGGAGAAATTTTGCAGCATATTTAATCAGGCGACCAAGAAACAACAGCTGCTTGTGTATGAAGCATCAGTAAAGCTGCTAAGATTTATATAATCTTTAGTGTTCAACAGATTGCTAGCATTTATAGGACAGTCAATGTATGCCTATGCTCATATGCAGTCATATAATGCTACCTTTCCCACTGCCTCTGAACAGAGTGGCTTCCTAAGAAAGAAATGCTTTGGGGAAAGATGAAATGAGGACTAGAGGAATTTGTGATCAATATCCAGGAAAGTGGTGATAATACATTGCCCACCAGAAGGCAATGAGGATAGAACCTACTTGTAATAGAAAAAAAAAAGTTATTCAATTTAGCCTGTATATAGGTAGACATATATCACTATTAGCAGCAGAATCATTCCACTGACATTACTCCTTGTGGCAAAATCAATATAAAAATATTTATGTGCTGATATAAGTATGGGAACATTTCTAACTCTAGATGATTACCACTTTATTAAAAATCTGATGATTATCAAATGCCATTGGTTTTAATTTTCCCTAAATGTAACTAGTGAATTCATGCAAAGGAACTTTGAGATGTATACTTGAAGACATACAGAATTGTAAGGGTTCTTAGAACATATTCAGAATCTACCCCATACATTAAGTAGGAGATCCTTGTGTTCAGCTGAGGTAAATCTGTTGACAAGAGCATGAACAGTTCCAGTGCTCTGGACTCTTGGTCTAGTACTTTCTCAACCATTTTCTACTGTTCTAAATAGAAGTTTCTCAGGGTAGCATTGTGGTACTCAAGAAAATAATCTTATATTCTATGGTTTCCCAGTGTATATATCTCCTCCCCAAGGAGACTATACTCATGCCCATCCATAAGGTCTGATTTTATACGGCTTTCCTTTCTTTTTGTTGATAATGCCCTACATTTTTCAAGATCCAAGTCGAATCCCAGCTATCCTGCCATTGGGACCTTGAGTTAAAAATGATATCTACTTTATTCTAAGTTGATAGAGCACGTAGAGCCTAAGTCACCATGTAACAGCAGTTTTTACATTGCTTATTAGAGGCCATATCATAGAGTAGAAAGACCTTGGTCTTTAGAGTTAGGCAAGTATAGATTTTAATATCTAACCCTAACCTTTGGCATATATATATATATATATATATATATATATATATGTATCTATATATTAGTTTATAAGTATATTAGTATGTTAGTTAAGTGTGTATGTTAGGATTTTCTGCTTTTCTGTGGGAGTAAATAAATCCTTAAATCTCACCTCTTTATTGCAAGAAAGATTTATTTCTTGCTCATAATAAGTCCAATGTGGATTGGGAAGCTCTTTCAAACAACGTCTAAAGGATACAGGTTGTTCCCATCCAACTTTGTTTAGAAAAGACAAAGGTATGGAGGTGTCATACAAGCTCATAAAGGCCTATCTAGAATGTGGCTATTTTCATTTCAACTCACATATCACTGGCTAGCACTAGTCCTATGGCTTTGCCTGACTTCAAGTCACCTAGGAATTGTTGTTTTCTAGGTGTGGGAAAGAACATGAAAACTGGATAGGGATGAGTGCTAATGATATCTATTACAAGAGTCATTTAAATTAGCTAAGATACCCATTCTTTTTCTCAGAATAAAATGAGATAATAAAGTGCCCAGTATCCAGCACATAGAAGTTCAATAAATGAAAATTAATCTAATATCTTCTAAAAGAACTTTTTAAAAAAGTATATTTATTTATTTTGACAGAGAGAGAGAAAGAATGAGTGGGCAAGGGGCAGAGAGAGAGAGATCCCAAGCAGCTTTGTGCTGTGAGGCTGGATCCCCTGAACTGTAAGATTGCAACCTGAGCCAAAATCAAAAGCCAGATGCTTAACAGACTGAGCCACCCAGGAGTCCCTAAAAGAATTTCTTAAGGCCAATTAAATCTCACTTATTTGCCTCTTTGGTCCTGAGCACATACCTGGCTAAATATTACTAAGTTTAGAAATTAAAGCAGGATAGCAAGATAGCAATGTAAGAAAACCCTAAACTCACCTTCTCAACAGACATAACACATCTACACCTATTTATACAGCAATTCTTCTTGAAGAGCTGAGGGTTGACTGAACAGCTTCTGAAAAACAAATGATAGACCACACAGATAATGACAAAAAAGATCAAGATAGAGACATAGTTACAAAAGAAACCTGCACCTCTGACATTGCAAACCTCAGCAGGGAGGGATAATACTTTGGGACAATGAGCACATTCTTCTGCCCTGGGGCACAGGAAAAAAAAAAACATCATTTAAAAGGGCAACTAAAATAAAGGAATTAGTCCTATAACCCTGCCAAATGGAGAAGGACCTGCTGGAACCCTCTCTGGGTCAGAAGGGCTGGTGATTACCGTGGTTTGTTTCCCCTCCATCTTGACAGTGCAGATGGAAGCAGCATCCAGGCACCCTAGCCAGTCTGCCATCTCAGTAAGTCACAGTACCCTGGCCCACACCAGTGCCAGCCATCCCACAAAGGCAGCTGCATCCTGACATACACTGGGACACTCCTGGTCAGTGCTCACTATAGCTCCAGCTCTCTCACCAAAGTGACACAGGCACAAAGCCTCCCTGTCCCCCAAACATCCCAGGTCTGTACTGCTTCAGCTCCAGATGAAGCCCTTGACAGGGGCACTCCCGTTCATAGAGCCCTGGGGCCACCCAGTCTGCATTGCTTTTACTTCAGTCACCCAGCCAGTGTCCCGTGTATATAGCAACCTGGAAACCACCAGTTCATGCCCATCTTGGCTCCAGTTGCCACACAGGGTACCTCCAGCATGGAGCACCTCAGACTCCCCCAACAAGCTCCACATGCCTCATTAGGGTGTCCCCTGAGCACAGCACCCCAGAACACTCCAGTTTGTACCCACTTAAGCTTCAGTTTTCCTTCTAGTTGCTCTTTGTGCAGAGAGCCCAGAGACTACCCTGGCCCATGCCCAATTCAGCTGTACTGCCTGGGTGTACTTTGGAAAGAGCACTGGGATCACTGCAACCCATACCAACTTCAGCTCAGGCCATGTCATAAGGGCAATCCCAGAATGGAGTGCCCTGGGGCCAGCACCACCCCCAACCTACAGCAGCCACAGCTGTAGTCAACCAAAGTCATCAGACACATACAGCCTACACAGGGGACAACCATATAGAAGATCATTCTTTGAAGTTTAGGAGATATAGCTGTTCTACCTAATAAATAGGGGAAAAAGAAGACTCAAGCAAAATGAGAAGACAGGGGCATATGCTCCAAATGAAAGAACAAGATAAAACCTCAGAAAAAGAACTAAATGAAAAAGAGATAACCAGTCTACCTGATAAGTAATTCAAAATAATGATCACAGAAATTTTGCAAGACTGGAGGAAAAGTAGATTCAACTCAGTAAGAACTTCAATAAAGAGAGAAAATATTTAAAATATTAATTAAAATAAATTAAATGAATAATTACCAGAGGGAAGCAACAGATTAGAGGATGCAGAAGAATGGATCAATGATCTGGAAAACAGGGTAATGGAATGTACACAAGATGAACCTTAAAAAGAAAAAAATAATTTAAAAATGAGGCTACATTAAATGATCTCTTGGACAACATCAAGTGAACAAACTAGGGGTCCCAGAAGGAGAAGAAAGATTCAGGAAGCACTGAGAGCCCCGAACAAAATGAATCCAAGGAGGTATACACCATGACACATAATAATTAAAATCTCAAAGAGGATTTATTTTTATTTTGAAAGAGAGAGAATCCAAAGCAGGCTCTCATACCCAGAGTAGATCTCAGCTTGGGGCTTGATCTTATGACTCTGAGCTCATGACTTGAGCTGAAATCAGGATTTGGATGCTTAATAAACTGAGCCACCCAGGCACCCTTAAAGAGAGAATTTTTAAAAGCAGCAATACAGAAGCAACTAGTAACATACAACTGAAACCCCATAAGGCCATCAGTTGTTTTTTCAGAAGAAACTTTGCATATTAGAAGGGAGTGGAATGATAGATTCAAAGTGCTAACAAGAAAAAAAAAAACACAAAAAACAAACAAAAAAACAAACCAAAACAAAAACTACCACTAATAATACTCTACCCAGCTAGGTTACCATTCAGAATTAAAGAAGGGATAAACAGTTTCCCAAACAAAAGTTAAGGGAGCTCATCACTAAACTGGCCTTACAAGAAATGTTAAAGGAACTACTTTAAGTGTAAAAAACCATAATTTGAAAGAAAAAAATGTCATGAGTAAAAGCAAACATACAGTAAAGGTAGTAGAACACTTTTAAAGCTAATACCAAGTAAAACACAAC